TCATAACGTGTGCACATAGATGGATCGCGCAGACGATGATGAGCTAATTGAGGAGGCGATTTCTACCGTTGAACAATGAGTCGAAGGGCTAAGCGTAGGAGAACTAGTGCATGATCCGACTCAACGCAGGTGGACCAAAAGGATCTGCAATTTTGTTCTTAGCTGTGCCAACGGTAGCTTACAGCTACGTGATCAATTTGAGTCAAATTTCCTGTTGAACTAGAACACCATGTATCCGTTCGACGAGAGCTGTGTCGAAAGTTGGTTCTACATAGGAACGGCCGGTGATCCGCGCAGAACTGAAGCAGTCGATCACCGTTGTCTGTTCGCTGGGCGGGAAAAGCGAAATGCCCATATAGACATGTTTCGGATCCGCTCAGTTTTCCAACCTGCGCGGTAAAATCACCTGCCAGCACTATAATATCAGGGTTGCGGCTCAACCGAATGAGTCCGGCGAGTTTGTCGTGAAATTCGTCCTTTTGTGAAGCGGGACTGCAGTTGGGAAGCGCTAATGACATTACAATCGTGATCGATGTTGGTATTAGCTTGGATTGTGGGATAAGAAAGAGAACAATAGAGAGTGGCATCATCGGCAAATCAGTGGATTGAATTAGATGTTTGGGATAAAAGATCGTTGATAAATAAGAGATACAGGGTGAGCGAAATTATGAAAGCTTGGGGAACACCGGCGTTTACAGGAAATGGCCGAGAAAGAACCCCCATCTACTTGGACTGAGATGGTTCGCTTGCTGAGGAAACAACGAAGCCACGATACCAGAGATTGGTGGATTCCGAACGTGGGTAATTTCGACAGCAGACGTTCATGCCAAACGTGGTCAAAGGTCTTTGAGATGTCGAGCTAGACCATGTGAGTTTCTCCGTGGTTATCGGGTGCAGCCGACCAGGAATGTGACGTGAGCACCAGATCGACGAGGGAGAAATCCATACTGACAGTTATTTAAAAAACCTTCACATTCGAGAAACGTACACAGTTGAACGGAGATATTGGTTTCAAACACTTTCGAGATTACAGATGTAAGAGTAATGGATGGGACGGTAGTTGTTGGGGTCGGACGGGTTGCCGCGCTTTGGGATTGGAAAAATAATGGCATTTTTCCATGGAGTAGGGGAAGATTTAAGTTCGAGTGAATAACAGAAAAGGCGGCGTAGAATATGGGCTAACTCCGGGGCACACATTTTTAGGACGACAGATGGAATACCGTCCGGACCGGGTGGTTTACAAACATCCAAACCGCGAATCGTTTGGCGGACCTTTCTGGTTGTTATGATAGGTAGGAAGAAATGACTGGATGTGTAGGAGGGTTGAACAGTAGAGGCAGCAGATACGGTGGAGTTGGAGGCAAACCGGGAAGGGAAGACCTCTGCTTTCTCGTGGGGATCACAAACAAGAGTACCAGAGGAATTGCAAATGGGGGGGAGGGGAAGTTGGAACGATAGAAATTAAGTGAAACCGCTTTAGCGAAGGATCAGAAGGTTCGGTTACCGGTGGTGGAAGAAGTCAATCGCGCAGCTTTGTGACAAATGAAGCGTTCTTTAGCTCTCTGAATAGTGACCGAGCATTTGTTTCTGGCTTGCAAGAAACGGTTGCGGGATGCTGGATTAGGTGAGTGACGCCAACGACGGAATGCTGAGTTTTTGAAACGTACAGCACAGTTGCAAGCGTAATTAAACCACTCAGGGGATCGTGATTTGCCGGATTTGGAGAAGTGTGGAATATATATATATATATATATACCTTGATGAATAATCTCCGTGACGTTTGAAA